TTGTGGATAATTCTCCTCAAAATACACGACCATTAATGAAACATTTTTGAAAAGACTGCAAAGTTCGCAAAAAATGTAACTTCGGATATCTCTGCACTCGTTGTTCAATGCACAACGGAACTTTTACACCAACAAGTTCCGAAACAAGCCACCATTTACAAGACGAAAGAGATTACCGAGGAGTAAATGAGGATCGTCCGTAGCAGGTGAACAACAAACTGAACAACTACAGAAGCCGCAAACGAAATGGCACATTATTATTATTAGTATCATTATTATTACTATTGTCATTATTACTGTTATTATTATTGTTATTATTATCATCGTCATCATTATTATTATCGTTACTACTACTACTACTACTACTACTACTACTACTACTACTACTACTACTACTACTACTACTACTACTACAACTACTCGAAGCGTCACGAAAAGGAAAGGAGAGGAACAAACTCGAGAACTACTCCAACAGAACAGCTCTAGGAGTTGAAGCTACAGCACCAGAAACTAACGGAAAAGAGACAGTTACAGTAATGCGTGTAACGTGAAACTGAGCTACTGTTGCGAAATGGCATGGATAAGCGATGAAGATGGTCAACTACCCTTTCCTTATCTCAGTTGTATCATGCTCCCTGTGCATGTGATATGCAAATGTCCCGTCTCGAGAACCGAGTTTTTTTTTGAGACTGTGCTACTGTTGCGAAGTGAACAAGTGGCACATATTGATAAGGAATGAAGACGACGGCCAATCCACTCTCTCTCCTTACTTCATTGCTCTAGGCTTCGCATCTGTGCTATGCAAATGCCCCGTCTTGAGATCCGAATTTCCTCAGCGACGTGAGACTAGAACTGATAGCAGTCCATTATTATCAGGTACTGTGGCTAGTTACGCGTTTTCATGCGTTTTTTGCAGCAGTGCAATGCGAAAAACGCATATTGACGAGAGGCTGTGTGTGTGTGTGTGTGTGTGTGTGTGCGTGTGTGTGTGCGTGTGTGTGTGTGCGTCCGTCCGGGTACTTCAACCCGGCACCCAAGTAAGTTCCTTCAAAATTTTGCGAGTGCGATTCCCAGCCAAGTGTCGCCCCAGGGCCGAGGTACCAGTCCTCAAGCTTGTCCAGGTCTCACGTACGAGCGCCTCAAAGTTTTAGCGGGAAAATTGCTAACTTGGGAACCAAAAAAGCTAGAAGGCTGAAATTTTGGGATTATGTTTTGGGATTTCCCGCGTACAGCCCATGAGGGTTTCTAGCGCGAAAGTCGCTAGCTCGGGAACCAAGAAAGCTGGGAGGCTGAAACTTTCAGGAAATGTTTCCAACTCATCTACAACTTAAATTTATCAAATTCAGCCCCCCCCCCCGTTATGCGTGGTCGCCACTACGGCCACGTGAAATTTCCTGGCTGCAATTTCGGTAACTCGGGAACTGAGAAAGCTGGGAACCTGGGATTTCAAGGGAATGCTCTCTGTCCAAGTAAAGTGTGGATAATTAACTTCCCGAAATTTGAGGACCAGTATGTACAAGAGGTTTCTAGCTAGCGGAATTT